CATTTAAATCTGCTCCACCAGACAGAGCATCACTCGTTAAAATCTAAAAGGTCTGACAAAGCAAAACAAGAGAAAAAAACCCTACAAGCATATTACCAGGATGGTCAAAACCAACATAACAGTAGCACTAAAGGCCAGGCTCTGCCCCTACTTAGCTCCATGCTTATCAAAGCAATTGTACTGTATTCACTTGAAATACGCTCAATTCACATCAGCAAAACTGGGACTGCAATCTGGCACTTCTTCGTGGTATAACAATAACTGCTTGCCTACCATCACTTCATCTTCCAATGTCTCTCACACTAGCTCTGTTTCTTTGCACACAAATTTGAACTGGTCATCAACTGAAGATTTGCAGACAGTGTAAAGCAACAGATTCCACACACTTGGGTCCTTCCACGTCTTCCTTCTGTGCTGTATCCTGTAGCTGATAACATGGAATAATTCTTCCTTATTCTGACACGATGGCTAATTTGAGAGGTTGGTGAACACAGTATTCCTGTGACATTGCAACTGCAACTCGATCACTTTTACATTTCTCAATAAAACCACATTAGAGAGACAAATCATCAAGGTATTGAGAGTCAATAGAGAGTGTGACATGGAGCGGGAAAAGACAGCTGAGTGCTCCACGACCACCTTGTTATACTTCTGTGGGTCTCCAAGCACTTCACGATTTTAAATCCAATGATCATCCATCCTGCAAAGGTAAATACCCTGTATTATATTAACTATGGTTTTAGACCTCTGCTATGTTCACCTCTGGGAATTCTGTAAATCACAGCAAAGACTTCTGCAATTGATTACTGGGCAATAAACTGGCAGAGTAGTATACCATAAATCAAGCTGATAGTTTAGGGGGTGGGCATGAATTTGATTTTTTGTTTGTTTCATTCCTCCCCCCCACAATATTTCTTTTCTCAGATCAAATTTAATTTTACATGATCTGGAAAGAATTTCTGGTATGGAATATTCATTGGTGAAAAGGTGCATTAGAAAGTACTGGCATTTACATGAGATTCCTAATACTCTTTAAACAAGCTGAAGTATTCAGGAGTCTACCAGAGAAAGAAGCAAGAACATTCTCAAGTACCGATGTAACTTATATTTTCCAGCAGCCTAAGGGCTGCCTACTGAAATGCTGCCTACTGCATTACACTGCAAAACAAGTAGATGAGATTCAGGAACATACTTTGGTAAATAATGTACTTACAGCATGGCCAAATGGACAAAACAAATGGAAATCCTTACATGTTCACTTTCATTAATGTATTTTTACAGTGTCCTTGTAATTCCTACTGCCATAATCCTGACATACGAGGCGTAAGATTGTATTATACCTTGACATAAGGGATATTTTTAGATATACATGAAAAAGACAAAGCACTATTACACACAAATGCACTGAGAGCTGTGATCTCAACTCTGATGAACTCAAGCCTTATTCTGAAATCTCACTGAACAGTGCTACAACACTGAGGTCAGCAGGCTATTTCGTATGCGTGTTTCCTACACAGCGTTCCACTGAAACTGTATGTACCATTTCTTCTGTTCTGACAGAGGATCTGCTTTTACACAAGCTCCTCAAAAACCAACATTCACAGCGTTCAGAAAACAAAGACGGTAAGAAAGCTGCTTCTCCCACAGCTATCATTTCAGAGCAGCGAAGTCTGCTGAGAGCTACTGAATTACCATCAGATGGGCAAAAGCAGGAAATAAGTTACGCTACTGTTTATCAGACTACAAGATGTGTAAGTGCTGCTGAATATGAATTAAAAAGAATTAAAATATTCATTCTGACCTTATAGGAGCCAAGACTCCCTCTCTCCAAAGTTACTGCATACCGAAGTTATAGCTGATCTTCATTTACTCAAGTTCAAATGTTTCTCAAGGCATATTCAGTAACTCCCAACGTAATCTTATTCCACACAAAAGGAAATTGGTTACTTGTATGTTATCCAAGGAAGGCTGAGTAATTCACTGTGGTAGGAAAGACCTCTAAAAATAAGTCACCTCTCAGCAGATTCACTCCCTTCCTGTCTGGGTCTGAATCAGTTTGCAACTGCATGAAAGGACAAAGTTGGGCACGAATGACAGAGAACTTCTGTAATGACAACACTGCTCAAACCCATTCATTTCACTCCTACTCTGTTTAAAAGAAACCAACTATTAGGGGTGGAGCAAGCCAGCGACCCAACAGGATGTGCATGACCAGAGCTCCTCATGTGTAGCCTTCTGCTTTCATGTTTATTTTTGGACCTATTTTCCTTTGCGCTTAGAACAGTTTTTTGGGCAAGGTAGCTAGCACCACAGGAACTCATTGGTGCTGAAGAGGGAAAGCAAGTTCTTATCATATCAGATAAGATATGATACTCGTATCTTATCAGAGTGCCTCTTCCTGCAGAGTCCCAGAGCACCCTGGAAGTCTACAGTGTTATGACAGTGATGGATGACTTTTCTCATGTTTGTTCGTACTCCTATGAAGGCCGGGCACAATCAGTGCACAAAGGCACATCACCAGTGATTCCCAAAAACTCCAAGAGCTTCTTCATCAGGGAACAGCATTCAGCTGTGTGAGAACTTAACCAGGGATTTCATCATCTCCAAACTGCTATAGCAGCTGCCGATAGGAAACAAGGCTCCAAGGATGAGTAAGCTTAGAAGTTCAACAGATGTTCCCAAACAGGATGCGACTTCAACAAATACAGTCATTAGACAAAAGACGAGGCCACTTTAGCTGGTAACTGTTGCTATCAGGACAGTTTCATTTGTTTTGTCCAGCATTCCCTGACTGTTAAAAATTAAGTCAGAAAATCTTCCTGTATTTGTATATGGTTGATTGAATATGTGTGTCTGTATATGACAGGAGACATCTCACTATATTTTTGGTAAAGAATAACCTATCTTTTCCCCAAAGAGCATTTAAATTTATAAGACTGACAAAAGAGTAGTGGTAAAAAAGAAAAAAAGTCTGTCTAGAAGTAGCAATCTCTTTCTTTTAGGTATAGACTCAGTTGTAATTGTACTCAAAGAAATTGATATACTTTGCTGTATATTGTGCATTAAACATGTTAATAAGCCACATCTGGTCTGTGAAGCATTCCACCAATACACCTGTTTCTGAAAGCAATACAGCTAATAAGAAAAGTTACTTTTCAATTTTAACAAAACTCAGAAAACTCTGTAAATTCATAATATGAAGTTAGAGAGATTCTGAAAATTCTTTCTAAACTTAGAAGTAGCTAAGTATTTACTTTTCTTAAAAAAAATACACTGCTGCCATTGCTAGTAGACTGGGGGAAATTTTCTTAAATAATGTTCTGTCTGTTTTGAACATCCTCTGTTTGTCATAGCTTAGCTGCAGTTTATGTAGGCTTTGGGATCAGTAGATTGCAGGGAAACAAATACTGCCCTGAAAAAAATTAACAACTTAATTCTACCTCAGACTAACCAGCGATGCTCTATTTCATGGTGTAATTTTCCACTCACTAAGAGCACAGGGATAGCCGACTTGAAAGAGAGCACACCAAAAGACATGAGAAGTTCTGCAGAAAAGGCAGGGAAGCACCACAAAGCTGAACTGTGGTCTGTGACTGACACCTGCAGCATCTGTGATGTGCTCTACTGCACAGTTTCATAAAGTCTGCGTGATGAGGCTCCCTACGATAACTCCCAATATTTGCAACACACGGGACCTTTCCCAAAAGCATCTATCATAAAAAACCTCATCAAAATCAGCAAAACTGTCAGAAACAACATCGTATTAGTGGTTAAAGAGTAAATTACATCAGCATTTTTGTTTTAAAACAACTTTAACTATGTTTTAAGCTTCAAAATTTTTAAGAAGGGAACTTAACCTCCACTCCCCCAGTATGTCTGATAGGAAAACAACAATCTCCAAATACTTAGCAGGAAAGTCATGCATAGGAGAAATTACTCTGCTTATAGCAATTAAAAGTTAATCTTTAAAAATGTTACTCGATAAATTTAACAACTGGATTATTTTCCTTCCATCATGAGCTTGTAAAGCCCTATCTACATTAAAGATTTCTGACCACTAGCAAGTGTAGCATATACTAAAACAGGTAAGAACACTGGCACAGCCTATTTTTTAATGTCAGGTCTAAAACTACCATGCAGCTCCTCCAGAGAAAAAAGCATGAGCTGCAGAAAAATATTGCACCGTGAATAAGAGAGAAGCTGAACTAAAATGCTACAACCGGCATCTATGTCTTAAATATAGTTAGTGTCCCTAGATCTGCAACTGCAGGACACTGTCACATCATCTGGCAGCTCGGCACAACACCAAAATGTGTATGGTCACCGTTTAAAACAAGTCAGCAGTACAAGTTAGTGGCGAGTGTGGGCCAGGCAAACAGGACACCTTCGAATTCCCAGAACACTTCCAAGTCAAGTGTAATAGAGAAAAGCAAACTGATTGAAGTTCAGTAACCGAGCACAGTAACATCAAAATGAAATCTTCTCAGCACGGATACCAAAGGACACACAGATTCTAGAACGAAAACCTCGGCACTATGTTCTCCATGAAGTTTTAAGGGAATTCAAATGTAATCAGTAACTTAATGTTTTTTAATCCATCTGCAAGCTCTAAAGCCCTTACAGCTGGTGATGAGACAGGAGTAAAGGAGGATAATTTAGAATATTGGAGTGCATTAAGAATACAGTGTCCTCATAAACGCTGGCAATAAAAGCAAGTTTAAGGCTAAGACAGCAGCACCTGGAGTACACAGGCAAATTCCACCAGCAATTTCACCTAAGTTATTTAATTAGAAGAAGCCCACAAGAAATAAATATGAGTATGCAATCATGCAGAATATGAAGCACTAGAAAGATGTAGAAGTACTTTCCTTTTTGTCCAAACTAATTTAAAAGAATTATCACTTTGCTTATGGTATAAATGTGTTTAGATTTCATTACAAACACTTAAAAGGTTAAATCACCTTTTTTCTGCATAAACTGCAAAATAAATCTGAATTTACCTCCCAAAGTGCTTTAAAGTCCTTCTGCTCAATTCGAAGGAGCTCGCTGTATTCTCTGGTAACGATGGTAGCATGGCGAGGGGTGTTATCCAGAATGGACTCTCCAAAAGCAGTTCCTATTCCCAGAGTGCATATTGTCACAGCATCCTTTGAATTAAAAATAAAAGTACACATATTAAATACTCTAGGAGGTTTTAAGCGTATTTATGTCATGTTTGCTAACAGCGCTGCCTTAAGATTCTTCAGTAATTTGCTTTAAAAGAAAATTAGCTGAAAAGTGCCAACCAAAAGATCAATATACTGAGTAACAACACAGGGAGCTTCAACGTGGAAGCAAGTAGGACTTCTGCTTCCCATGGCCATCAGTCAGATTAGACATCCCTGTCTGCAAAGCAGAGGACACAGGAGTCACCTTCCCCTTTGGAAGAAAGTTATGACCTCTGTCCATCTGCCTCCAAAGGCTGTCGTGATGATGAGATCCTTTAGAAATGTCAGAGGTGATGAGAAGATAACTAACATCAGAAATGCAACCTTGGAATATAAATTTCTGCCCTATACAGGCTACCCTCATCAGAAAGAAAATTTGACTGTTATGTTTTCTCAGTAAACATAACTTTCAGTTATAATATTCTCTGTATTTCCAATGCATTTCTCTATTGTGCAAGGTCTCAGCACAATCCAGTCGTGCAGTTTAATCAACTCTTGGCCTTTCTGTTGAAAATGCCAGTAAATCTCGCACTTGTTAATGGATGCCCGATGATTAAGTACCAGACTAAAACAAAAATAAAGAGTTCACATAAGTCAGGGACTTCAAGAAAACTATTAAAGTCCAAAGCAACCTGGAACTGAGTATTCAGGATGGTCCCAGACATGCAGTAAAGGCCAATCCAAAAGAATATATATGAGCACATGCCATTCGTGTGATGGAAAGATGTCTAAATCAATCCCCCTTGGACAGGGACTCCTCTGTAATCGTTCCAACATAAATTATAGCTAATGCAGACCAAAAAATTAGACTGCTAGAAATTAAACAACTTGCTGAATCAAGATCTTCAGATATAAGTTCTATTTTAGGCTCACAAGTTGCTATGTTCCTGAGCTCAGGCTTGAAGCTGAACACTTACGTATGTCTAAGTTGGGCTTTAACTGGCAGTCTTTCCAGTAATAAAAAAATAGCACTAACATTAAAAACATAAACTGATACAAATGGCATTTTACTAAGGAAATCATCCATGCACACAGACAAATACACACAAACATGTAAAAAACATGTTCTTTTTACTTGACACAACGTTAGAAATACAATTCTAACATGGAGGGTTCGTGAAATAGCTACAAAAATAAAAGCAGAAAAATCTGTCATCCCATCCACTACGTCCTTGTGGCTGATAATCAGTGAAAATGTACAAGCATATTTCAGCATCATTTTCTGTGCTTAAAATTGCATTGTTTTCCTTTCATGCATCTAATAATTAGTAACAGGCAAATGTTATTAAGATCAAGTTAGTAGCTTTATAATTGCATTACAAAGACAAATGCCCATAATAGTCCAGTTCCCTGAACCATAGCAAATTGCCTTTGCACAGATATTACCATATAAGATTATGTATTCAGGAAAACAAAATCAATTATATCTTAGAAAAGATCTAGGAAGAGTTTACCAACCGTCAGAAATACATTTTCAAGGAAGGCAAATATGGACAGGCCCTGTTTCAAAGAAAGAATATTTGGCAATGAGCACCTTGACACCTAAACGGAATTCTCTACAAACAGCCCACAATGCAAGCTGCACACCAAGGACCTGCCTTGCCAAGCTTACCTTTCAGGGCTGAAACACTGTATGTATGCTACCGTACTCACAATTGCACTCAAAGGAGCTACAAGAAAATGTGCCTCCTGCTCACAAAAAATCTGATCTCCAGGTCTCCCATGTATCATTTTCGACTTTATTTAGAAAGTTCAGCTAAAAGATCTCCATTTAGGGCAGAATAACCAAGTAGCCTGGCAGAAAGAACCTTTTCCATTCAGTGGATCATAAGCAATATTTACATCCTCCAACTACTTACCCACTCCCCTCCCTACAGAAAAATAAGCTCCTTTGAAATGCTTCACCTCTTCTGATTCTTTATGACCCTATGGAATATATCTTTAAAGACAGAACAGAGAAGAACAGAAAGTGAAAGGTGTTGGTTAAGGAACCACGTTCTCAGATAAATTTTGATGAGGCAGCTGTTCAGCCCGAGAAACAAATCAGCATTGTGGGGTGTCAAGTCAAGGAGCTGGAATGGTCCTATCTGCGTTCATTAAAGGAAAGTTTAGGCTTCTCTCAAGTGAAAGCCCTTTCAGGTTTTTTCCTAGCCACCACTGCTCTCCATCGAGACGCAGTTTTGCAGCCAGCTAGGGAGCAAGCCCGTCTGTCTCCTTCAAGGCTTCAGAGCCCCATTTTCCCTCTGCCCCTTGTTTATACATCTCCAGCCTCTCGGGGAATCAGGTGTGCATTTCCTATTACGCCTGTTAACCTCACACTCAAGGATCTCCCGCTGTTCAGCGCAGACTTCAGGAGGATTGCTGGCAGCTCAAAACTCAGTTTGCTGTTCCCCTCTGCAATCCCAGCAGCAGGGGGTTCTAGCTGCTGGTAACCAGCTAAAATTCACACAGCTCTTTAAAAGGCTGTATTAAAGACTTAAAAAGATGAGATTGTTTCCGTTTCTATCTGAACACACTATAAAATGGTAGCTGTTTGTGTATTCAGTTTCACTGACTGTCACTGGCAGGTAAGACACATGCAGTGAAAGAGTTCCCCTGCCCCTCCATCAACCGAAAACATTACTGAATGTAATGTAAGACCATTCTGTGTAAAGGATGAGAACCAGAAACAAGGCTCTGCCTTCCTCCCACCCCCACCATCGCAAGGCACATCCCTGCGTGCTTCTCCCTGACTTGTGACACTTTCCATTTTCCAAGCCGGCAAACACAGCTTTTGTACTGTGTGTAAACAAAATCATGGTGCCTGAAAGAGACATGAAGAAAATAGAGGAAAAAATTATGAGTGCTAGATTCAAAGGGATTGGGCACTCTTCTTTGAAATTTTAGTTTATTCAATATTTTGAATTTATAAGGGAGTTGATATAGCTAGTTTGTTTTTCATTTCATCGTTTCCCCACACCTTGTGCCTTTATCTCACCTCTGCGCCTGTGTCCCTCCAGGATTCCACACCATCTCCGTCTTGAATTGGAGCTATGCAAAAGCTGTTTTTTCAAAAAGTTTGCTTGTTATGACTTTGACACGGTTCAGTTTGTCCTCAACAAAAATTTCCCTTTACAACAGAGAAACCAAAGGACACACATGAAAGTAAACTACCTGTTCTATGAAGTGATCTTCCTGTTCCATCACCTCCACTGGAGAACGTTTCAGCCACTCAGACAGGAAAACTTTATCAATCTACTCTTAAAGATAACACAGAAATATCTTCCCACACTATAACTGCAGTCTGCCAACATATGTTAGGCCATTCCCTTTACAGAAGACAAGGTGATTTGCTTAAAAGAGGCATTATGCTTCTAGAAAAACTGTGACCAACTTCTCTTCTAGTTCCTAATTAAAATATTTACAGATCAGATTAATGGCACTGTAATAACACACTCATTTTTACCATATCTTTCTATCCAGTCCTCTAAAAGCTACGTACTACTTTTGCTAGGTTAGCTGGCAGAGAGAAGTGAAATAATTTTTCTATATTAACTTTCAATAAGCAAAGTTCAAAAGCAAAATTAATACAACCCCTTGGAGCTCAGCACGGGCCAACACACCCTGCTTCTCAACTGAGTACATTAGACCAACCAATCTCTGTGTTACAATGGGTAGAGCAGCTCTCACACTCAGAGTAAATCATTTAAAGCTAGCTTGGGCATATTTACACTGCACTAAAACTACAGCATTTCATGAATTCACACAGGTTATCTCCAAAATACAGAATGGCTACTTACATGCATACATAATGCAGTTTACATGCAGAAAGCAGTACTGCAAGGATTGTCCTGTTCAAATCCCTTTCCTTGTTTCCACTTCACCTTAGCACATACCTCCTTTGCCCGCAGTTTCAAACAGCCAGAAAATTCTTCCCTTTCTTACATGGACATCTGAAAATCCTTCTTCACAGTCACTGTTCTCAACAACCCCACTAATTTATTGGGCTTTTGATCCCCAGCCCTCTGCATCTTCCTACAACTGACACTGCTGCACCACCCAAGCACCCACAGCTCCTCCTTTAAAGCATTTCTAAGAACGGCTGATTGTTTGTAAAGTCAATGCCCTGTGTTCAGTTTGTCTGGTTCCAAAATCTGATCAGGTTAAAGAAACTCCACCCAAACACAGGCAAGATAAAATAGCAGTGGCCCCCAGCACACACTATGATTCAGCTGGCAGACTACAGCAAAACTGCAGATGGAACTGCTGTTTAGTCTTCGTCTTTCTTCTCTTCATTCCTTCTCATTTTATCACATAGGAATAGAAATCTTAATCATTTGGGGTAAAGGGCTCTGAATCCAAGTCAGTAGAACACAATGCTGCAGAATCTGACAAAGATATCCAACTGATGCTTTTAATGCATTTATTATTCTGAGACATTACCAACAGACACCCCTCAGAACCTGTTCATTTTCAAAACAGAGTTCAAAAATTAAACATACATTAAGGCAGCCAGAAGTATTTTTAAGACACTAGCAAACTAGGAATATCATTAAGAGGAACATCTATTACTGCATATCTCAGTTGTAACATTAGGTAGGTAACAGCACCCCCAAAACTTAAATTCAGAATCTGTTAATAACTGAGGGTAAAGACCTCTTTCTGATAGAATTTAAACAGGCTGCATTTTCTGTTTATTTTGAAGAGGAACTGCTAAGTCTTTGTGTGACTTTTAAGTACAATATTTATCATGGTATTTGTTACAAACAAGTTGAGGCAAGACTGAAACAGTTCATTACAATTACCTCTATAGTGTGACATTTTGACCTTAAAAAAAGCCCTCTTCTAGTCTCTTCTCGATTGTTAAATAACCAGGAAAATCATAAATAATTTGTACAGAAAGCAAACCAGCCACCACTCAGGATAATTGGATGGGTTGTCAGATCTCTGTACTGTAAATTGTATTGTGCCATTTCAATGGCAAATGAAATCACCATCATGCTCAGCAGCAGCTAGCACATTTGACCACCTCAGTGGAACACAACCAACAGTAACAGAGAAACGTGCTCTGATCAAACACTTTAAAACGGGTATATTGAAAATAGTAGAATATGGTTTTCAAACTGGCCATTTTAGTATGAAAGTCCCTGCCCTCAGTTTATGTATTCTTACACCGCCCTCCTGTGACTGAACACAGTTTTGCAAGCAGCCAAAAAGGATTTTTCCAAACAAATACGAAAGCAAGGCTTTATCTATGAGATCCTAAATACGTGTGGTTGTCTTTATTAAAACACTTAAATCAGTACATGGAATGCTTCCTTTTATCACAATAGAAAATAATAGGTAATGCTAATAGTTCTGTTTATATGAATTCTCAATTGGTATTACTAACATTTTCTGTGAGAAATCACAGGTGTCTGCATGAACAAGCTAATGTGCAGCAAGAACGTTAATATTTATGTTAATATAATTAATATTTCACTAGCTACTCTGAAGTCGTGATCCATCAGTGCATGCAGACATAATTTCTAGTGCAAGACATGTAACTACATGCCTCTTTAGGAGCAAAGGCTATTAAGACATTCTTAGTAAGCACCAAGTGTGTAATAACCTACTGCACTTTTAATGGGGAAAAGATACCAAACACCAGAAGTGACTGCATAAAGAGTTAGCACATGGGAGTTGCTATACAATGCATTTATTCCCAAGCTTACTGAAATTTAAGTTTCCCAGGCAGATAGATAAACACCTAGTAAAAGTGGGACTAACATATTTTTAATCAAGATAATTGATTTTCCATATTTACATTAAACCTGTAGGCATCATCATATAATCACAGGATAATCCAAGCTGCAGGAAAACTCAGGAGGTCATCTACTACAACCTCCTACTCACCTGAGGTATTAAGAGATTCTTTGTCATGTCTAAAGACTTTTTAACCAATGGGAACCTAAACACAAAGTTAACTTCTCTCTTCCTAGAAAAAGTGGCAAAGTCCCTCTGTACTTTTACATTAGCCTAAAAACTTCTAAACTTGTAAACTCAGGTAAACTTCTGTATCTTTTCTGCTCTGCTGGAAGTTTTTCATTAGCATTATGGTACAATAGGAACAGCAGAGCAACTAATCATTACTTTGACTCTACAAAGGAAGCTTTGGCTCCTGGGTGCTCTTACTGGAAAATGCACTCCAGGGTAGGTTACAAGCACGCCTAGTCTTGAGTGGTGAACATCCATTCCTAGCTGGGAGCACAATGCTGGCAACTGAGTCGGTCAGGGCTGCCTGCCTATGGAGTTACACTGTATTTCCTCCCTCATCTGGGTTTGTAGGCAGCACAGGAGGCAGGGAGTGCTAGCAAGCACTTCAAGCTCAAGAATGGTCAGCAGCGTGCCAACAAAGAAGTACAGGCAAGACTACAACAGGGCACCCAGGAGCTGAAGGTAGGACAAGGAGCAGGAGACCAAGGATGGACAAGGAGGGACATGGTATAAACACAAAGCTGGAGCAAAGCCAGAGAAAACATTGGACTCAAATAGTATTTAGGAGTCCCCAGCCACTAAACCTATCCAGCACGGGAATGGTAAATGTGTGCGCTGCTGTCCTTTTGGCAGCGAGGCTGTATCCTATGGTAACTAGGCAGTGGAAAGAATTCAGTCCATTGTTACTGTGAGAAGAAAACACAAGGTTAAGAAATTACTGCAGAACATCATTTCTAACTAGAACTACATGAAGCAGCATGGACTTGACAGATGGACCACTAAGTGGGTAAGTAATTGGCTGGAAGGTTGCACTCCAGGAGTTGCAGTCAACAGCTCGATGCTCGATGTCCAAGTGGAGATCAGTGACGAGTTCCTCAGGGGCTGATGTGGGACCAGCACTGTTTAACATCTTTGTCAGTAATACGGACAGCAGGACAGAGTGCAATCTCAGAAAGTTTGCCAATGATGCCAAGCTGGGTGGTGCAGTCAACACGCTGGAGGGAAGGGATGCCATCCAGAAGAATCTCAACAGGCTGGAGAGGTGGGCCTGTGCAAACCTCATGAAGTTCAACAAGGCCAAGTGCAAGGTCCTGCACCTGGGTCAGGGCAATCTCAAGCACAAATACAGGATGGGCAGAGAATGGATTGAGAGCAGCCCTGAGGAGAAAGGCCTGGGGGCACTGGCTGATGAGAAGCTCAGCATGAGCCAGCAATGTGCGCTTGCAGCACAGAAAGCCAACCGCATCCTGGGTTGCATGAAGAAAAGTGTGACCAGCAGGGCGAGGGAGGTGATTCTGCCCAGAGACTCCAGTCTCATAAAACTCCACCCAGAGTACTGTGTTTAGCTCTGGGTCTTCCAAATTAAGAGCGACATGGACCTGCTGGAGTAGGTCCAGAGGAGGACCACAAAGATGATCAGGGTGCTGGAGCACCTCTCCTATGAAGACGGGCTGAGACAGTTGTGGTTGTTCAGCCTGGAGAAGGGAAGGCTCCAGGAAGACCTGGACAAGGGGTAATGGTTTCAAACTAACAGGAGGTAGATTTAGATTAGATATTAGGAATAAATTCTTTACTCTGAGAGTAGTGAGACACTGGAACAGGTTGCCCAGAAAAGCTGTGGATGACCTCTCCCTGGAATTGTTAAAGGCCAGTTAGGATGGGGCTTTGAGTGATGTAGTCTAGTGGGAGGTGTTCCTGTCCATGGCAGAGGGGTTGGCACTAGATGATGTCTAAGGTCCCTTCCAATCTAATCCAAACCATTCCATGATTCTGTGATTCTCTGAACTGTAGTTCTGTATTTTCCTATTAGCAGGAAAATGCAGTGAACCTGAATAAGCAGAAAAAATATTTACACTAGATTTCTTAAAAGGCCTGAGTGTTCCATCCTCCATCTAATGGAACAAATCAACACTCCAAACAGGTTCTTAATTTAACTTCCACACCCAGAATACTTTTGTGGACATATTTCTTTCTGACTCAGTAAAGAACATTAGTCCTTATCAACAGTGTGGTGCCATCTTTTGGCAAACACCAGAAAATAGTCTCCATTGCTTTAGTTCTGCACAGAAAAAGGGCTCATATGAGCGCCGTACTGTTCCAAATTGTGACAATACCAATGATAGCCAGACCATGCTGCGAATTGCTCTAATCAGGCTAATTATACTCTTAATCAGTCTCTACTTAGCATGGTAAAGAGGTTGCTAAAAATAATGATATGAAAGAAGTTCCTTTTGTATCTATCATTTTGCTGTAAGAAGTCAAAAGATGCAGTGCTCACACACTGTTCTGACTTGCATTCCGACCCAATTTCACTGGGTCAACAAAGTGAAAAATCCAATTTCTGCCAATCTGCTATGCGCAGGAAACATTCCTCAGTCAGCCAGACTTTGGGGAAAGAATACACCACCACCACCACCACCACCAACTCACGCGTGCTATATTCAATTAAGGTGGGAAAAAGGGGTATTGTTGTACTTCAGGTCCTGGATAGCTGTACCACTCACGTGAAGGCACAAGCCTCATGTCAGAGGTACAATTCATGCTGAGTTACATGATGGGACAATCCCAGATCTCAAACATGGGAGCAGGTAACGGGACATGATTCCTTCCTAGAAGGCTCAGCTCACAGTGCATGACTTGTCAGACATTAGACGACATGGGTCTTTGGTTTTATTTATTTACTCTACATTCCTGATTTTGTAAATCCGAGAGTGCCAAGATACTGAGAAAACACTTGCAATTTGGGGTGAATTGTACTTGTTTTCTGTTTCTTAACACTGAATAGGTATTACCTTCAGGCTTCTGTTCTAACACGGCAGCAGTTCCAATACTCCACTGCTACTATAAAAATTTCCCATTCTTGCTGTGGAGCCTGCATGATGCTGTTATCAGACTACACTGTGAACTTCCTGAACAACTACAATATTTCCAAGGAATGTATGAACAACTCTCAGATCTTCAGAATCAGAGAAACATGCTTGTGATAAGACAAAATACCTGTCAGATTTATGGTGTTGTTATCTACCTCAGCATAAGTCATACCTTTTCTTTTGTACTACTGACTGGATGGTTTCAGTGAAAAATCTATTTTACCTGGTGGTTGCTTGTATCAGAAACCTTCACATCCAGTGATCCTGTCAGAACAGCATACCAGTTCGTCCCAATATCGCCCTGACGGAATACTGGAAAGATGAAATCTTGTGAATAAGAGATAGCTCTTTAAGTTTAGCAACATTAACAAACATTTCCCCTCATATTGTACTACTGTAGTCACTGTTGGCACTACAGAATTTGCCATATCAGACTAATTACTATTACAGTAATATTTCCAATGACACTGGAAAGCACGTATTTTAGTAAACTTGTTGATACACTGCAGAAACAATGAAAGCACACAGAATTGCTTCCCTACTTCTCTTTTACTGCTTAGTTAATAAACAAAACAAACAAAACAAACAAACAAACAAACAAAAATAGTTTCCGAACAATGTTCTTTTGAAATTCAGACTCTTCCACTGCAGACACAGCTCGCACTGTCTTCATTAAGAGTTCTGGCTGAGAAGCAACTGCAGGACTTTAATGTTCAGGCATCCCAGCTGTGTGATTACGAAGCATCAGAATTCCTGTTACCCCAGTGCTGTGTGCGTAAAGCATGCCAGATTTACCTGAGGGGTACCCAAGACTCTACCAAATGCCACAGGTCTCCATCAGCTATTTCCCTGGTACAGCTGTGGGAACTCACACATGTCCATCACAGGACCACCACTTATTTTCATCTCAGCTTCACAGAACAAGCACAGCTCTCCACCTTAATCTGGCACACAGGCTGACAGAGCAGGCACAGAGCTGTTGCACCCCACAGCATTATGCAGCTCTACAAATCTGTCTTGTGTTATCTAGAGTGACTGCAAACCACACGCTATTAACGATGTGCCTAGGTGATACACTTTTGCCCCTAACATCACAAAGCACCTACAAAAGAGATCAGTAATACAGGAGGAGAACAAGGCTTCGGTGGAGTAGAAGCAATGACTTGCTTCTAATCTTTCAACAAAACAGTGGTGGAGTCTTAAACCTAACAACGTGTGCCTTGTTACCATAGATTCACTACACACTGTATTTGTAGAGTAAGCAAGCACTTCAGTCCTGCCTTCCCTGCCATGAGCGTAAACATTTTTATGGCTGTTCCACTGACTGTGCTCTCATCGATCTCCTAGAGACAATCCCAGCCTAATCCCCAATTTTATCTACATGAAATAGATCACCATATGAAGCTCTCTTACATGTGATTCCTTTTTCCAGATTTTCATAATATCCACAGAGACATATCTGATGGAGAAGGTTTGGATGAAATTTCTCAAAAGCTTTCACTTCTTTCAGTCGTGTGAAGATTATATCCACATCTTCACTGGAACGTTCCAAAGGCCTGCAAGAAAACACAGGACAAAATTGTCAAGGGCTTGATCAGAGAAATACCCCCACCTGTACCCACAGAGTTTACAAATGCTTGCATTCAACATCACACTGTAATACAAACCAATTCAAATGCATTTCACAAGTACATGATGAAACCCTTCCAAAACATCCTAACAACTGCCCGTGACCAACTTGAGCACGATTATTATCATTTCAAAAATAAATCATTTCATTATGTTTTCAACTCAGTGTCCAGGAGCACCATTTAGCACTAAAGCCCTGCTGTAGCAGTTACTTGTTGTAGAAGTATACATGATGATACAGTCCTTCTCTTCAAGAGTTTACAACGATACATAGTTTTAATTTTGTCAGGGAACACAAACAACAGATGTCCACACATACAAGAGGTCTGTGGAATCAGTGCCCAAACCAGAAGTTCTCTGTCTGGCTAAAAGAAATGCTTTAGATATCATCAGTAACTTCTGTATCCACACAGCTCATCTGCATTTACTGGGTACAAACTAACTTGAGTGTTGCGATTTCTTTTCTTACTTGCAAGAAAGAAAGACAACTTTAATAAGCACATTCTCTTTCATACAGCTCCCGTCTCTTAACGTTGGAGAAATGAAATGCGCAGCAAGAATCTTAACTCTTCATTGGTAAGGGTAAAGAGTTTTAATCCAAATATTTAAAATATTTAACATTTATGACAGTGACACCTTTTAAAAAACCCAAGATTTCAAGAAAAATAAAATCGTAGAACTCCTCAGTAGCATGTGGACCAGCAATGCCGTGGATTCAGAAAACTACAACATATTTATGAAACTAAAGTGAATTAGCCCCTTAACATACATTTTAAATGTGATTACCAAACGTTACGAATCAGCAGGTAAGCCAACCACAAGCTGACAGCATCAGAAAGAATCTTTCATAACAGGCTGAATGCCCACCACCTCGCACAGAAAGTAACACAGAACGTTCCTAGGAGATCATGGATCCAATGCAGAAATCATTTCTGTGTAAAAGGGTACCAGAAAGACAGACGACTGTCACTGATCATTAGGTCTATCACTCACTCAAATGCTGCAAGTTAATTTTACTGACAAGAATGCTCTTTTAGCCAGAGGATGAGCTTCTACATGAGCAGAACTCAGGTAGCTTACAAGGAACAAAGACTAAGCTCACAAATACATATCTTGATCATCTTATTGTTACACTCACAGTGTAAGCACTCCTTCCAACAGGATGTTTTTTTTAAAGATTCCTCTTTGGAATCAAAGGGATTCAAATCTTTGTCTCAGGAAAGAAGTCCAGATCCTACTTATATTGAATCTCTGCCTCTCATCTTTCTTATTAAATTAAGCCTAGCAGGGATTAAATCTCTATCCTTATTTATACTCCAACTAACCCTTATTAACTAAAGATGAGAATAATAACTCTCTGGTGTACACAGTTGCTTCTACATCACAGTGACATCCTCTTACCACTTTAAACCACAACCAACTACAACAGCTCCCTTTTGAAATATTTCAAGAAGATTTTCACCCATTCCATTCCTTCTTTTTTGACTGACACCAGCTGACAAGTACTAATAAGCATTAACTCTCTTGTCAAAATCCTTTTAAGAAGATTAGGAGGTGCAGCTTGCAAATAGATTTAAAATCCGTTTATACGAGATCCTTACCCAAACTACACTAGCAGCTGGAACACTAACTCCCTTAACTTATGGATTCTCCAAAATTAACACCAAAACCCAACAAGGAAAAAAAGGGAGATCATTTTCAGAATATCCCCATTTCCCAGAAAAACTGTGTCTGAGTCTGTTTCATTCATACAATTGCTCATAGCTGCCTCTGTTCAACTCCATCAGTTCATTTGCACAGAACTGACTGTAGGACCTCAGTGTAGTGGTTTTCATTGTCTGATGCAGTCAGACAGGGAAACACCCAACAGCGTTAGCAAACAACATGCATCAGGTTGTATAAACTTAATCTACACTGTTCTCTCAGTGCTGTTCCTGGAATGTGAGTGCAGAAATCTCTTCTACTTCTGGTCCTGTTGAAGGGACACGATTTGTGGGATTTAATTCATAGACTGTGTAGCTTTCTTTCCTGAAAGTTGCTGAAGACTCAAGAGACGAGGTCTCCATGTAGTTCAGAAGAAGGTGAGAGTGGGGCTCACTTCCATTGATGTGGCAAGGAGTGTTCTGTATCAGGTAGATGAACTGCAGGAAAAGCTCTTTCTTCTGACAAAACTGCTTCATGACCCCCATAAAGTGAGTAATCATGGAAGTATAAGCATTCTTACAGGTAGCTGAGCCATGCTTTTCAGAGTTTTAAACATCAGCACAGCAGTGAGAAACCAAACTCTATATTTATTGAGAGAGGCAAATTAAAGCAATGTGTTCCTAGTAGCTTACTTTAGCAAGCAATTGAACTACAGGGCTTTGTATTAGCAGCAGTTACCTCCACTCGAAGTACCTGAAGAGGGCATTTGAAGGGGGACACACAGATAAAGAATAACAACTTACTAATGTCTCTCAAATGAGTCACACAGACCTACACCCGGTTTAGGATTTAGCTGTTTGGTTAAGATCATGAATAAGCAAAAAAACCCAAACTAGGATCCAAGCTGTTTGACAACAAAATGCTTTTGAATCTGATCAGAGCTCCTGGGAAATGTCCTCAGTGTTCAGGAGTAAGGAATTAACTAACACTAGGAGTCTCAAGCTGAGGTGGCCCTTAGCCCTTACTAGGACATGGAATGTTGCCTGTGTAAAAAATCCAGAAAGCAGCATAACAGGAATAGCAGAAGCCCTCAAACTCATTTCTATTAAGTGTTTATCATCTATTACAATGAAACTGGTTTCAAAAGGGTAGTTTTACTTAGTGAGAGAGCATAATGAGAATAATCAAATACCATGGCACCAATTAACTGCTTTTCCACATGCCTGCAAGACTCAGGCAAAGTTTGACCACTTTCTACAAAGTATCTTTTCATCAATTACCGTCACCATAACTTTTGTCATCATCACTAATTATCATTAATGAATCTATTTATTATGTCAAATTTTGTTTTCTATTTCCTAAGTACAAGCTGCCCAGCATGGAACAACATGAGTACAGGACA